GAGGTCGAGTTCGACGGCAAGAAGACCGACTACCCCATGATGCAGTCGTGGCCTGTGCGAGTTCCCCGTCCGACCACTGAGAAGCTTCAGGCAAACGAGCCCTTCGTCGTCGGTCAGAGAGTGCTGGACGCTCTGTTCCCCGGTGTCCAGGGTGGTACCGTTGCCATTCCTGGTGCTTTCGGTTGCGGCAAGACTGTCATTAGTCAGTCTGTGTCCAAGTTCTCCAACAGCGATGTCATCGTCTACGTTGGATGCGGTGAGCGCGGTAACGAGATGGCCGAAGTCTTGAAGGATTTCCCCGAGCTCACGATTGAGGTCGACGGCCGCAAGGAGCCCATCATGAAGCGCACCACCCTTATCGCCAACACCTCCAACATGCCTGTCGCTGCCCGTGAGGCTTCCATTTACACTGGCATCACCGTCGCCGAGTACTTCCGTGATCAGGGCCTGAACGTCGCCATGATGGCTGACTCCTCTTCCCGATGGGCCGAGGCTCTTCGTGAAATCTCCGGTCGTTTGGGAGAGATGCCTGCTGATCAAGGTTTCCCTGCTTACCTCGGTGCCAAGCTCGCCAGTTTCTACGAGCGTGCCGGCCGTGTCAAGTCTCTCGGTTCCCCTGAGCGCAATGGCAGTGTCAGCATTGTCGGTGCCGTCAGTCCCCCTGGTGGTGATTTCTCCGATCCCGTCACGACATCCACCCTCGGTATCGTACAAGTTTTCTGGGGTCTTGACAAGAAGCTCGCCCAGCGCAAGCATTTCCCCTCCATCAACACCTCGCTCAGTTACTCCAAGTACACTATGGTCCTCGACAAGTGGTACGAGAAGGAGTACCCCGAGTTCCCCCGCTTGCGTGACCGCATCAAGCAGCTCTTGTCTGACTCCGAGGAGCTTGATCAGGTCGTGCAGCTGGTCGGAAAGAGTGCGCTGTCTGACCCCGACAAGATCACTCTGGATATCGCCGCTCTCCTGAAGGAAGACTTTTTGCAGCAGAACGGTTACTCAGACTACGACCAGTTCTGCCCTCTGTGGAAGACTGAGTGGATGATGAAGTTGATGGTCGGTTTCCACGACGAGGCGCAGAAGGCCATTGCCCAGGGTCAGAGCTGGGCCAAGGTTCGTGAGGCCACCTCCGACCTGCAGTCCAAGCTGCGTCAACTTAAGTTCGAGGTTCCCACCGACGGCGAGGAGGTCATTACTAAGAAGGTGAGTCAATGTTGTACGGAACACAGCCATGCATCCTTAGCTAACCTTTTGCGCAGTACGAGGAGATCCAGCAGCAAATGTTGGACAAGTTCGCCTCTGTTGTTGACGAGTAAGCGCTGCAATGCGTTGGGTAATATCCTGTTTTGTCAAAGTCTCCCGCGTCGCGCTGTAGGGTATGTCTGGGGTCCAATAGATGAGTCTGGGGCGATGGCATCCTGCATGGTGGTTCCTCTTTTCGTAGTCTCGGCTAGTATATCACATCTGTATATGATCCTAACGTCAGCTTCATGCCTTCTGATGATGGTTCAACATGTGTGATGTCACGGCAGATACACATTGCAATTGCTGTGATGTAAATGCATGCAGCCATTTGCTTGAACGATCCTGCAATTTGATGACCAATGTAGATACGAAAGAATGTTTGAGCAAGTTGAGTGCATGAACATAGCGAAATAACTCCAAGCCCCATCTACCGTAATTAGCTGGACGGTTATGACCACTGCCAAAAGGAGGAAGGAAAATTTCAAGGACGACATTATTGGAAAAGACAGACAAGGAAAAGGCAACGCTAAGATTCACGCGACATATCTTCAGCCAAGAGTGATCTCTCTCCAGGCTTTGCCCGGGTCAAAAGAAGCGAAGTCGTAGGCCCTCTGGTAGATCTTTGCCAACCCAGCTCGCTCCGCCACTTCATACTCCTCGTCCCAGACGATGAGGAGGGCATAGTACAGCTGCCACTCCGACACCTCCCTGTCTTCGGGGACATAGTAGTTCCAAGTGTCAAGCTCCTCCATCGAGAAGTCTCGAGCGTCGGAGATAGCTGCAAACTCGAGTACATCACCCACGCAAGTGAACCATTTGTCCTCGAGTATGATGGTGCCGCACCAGTCCCCATTGGAATCCAAAAGACTGAAGCGGTGCAAGCCTAGCTCTAGCTTTGTGGCGAAGGTTGGACTTGTCCGGGTTTCTCTAGATAGCTGGAAGAAGGCCGTGTAAGTCCAGAAGTACAGGTAGGATTTGTCGCGATGAGGGCTCGTTGGGAACGTTGGCTTTGGTTCACTATTTTCCATCGGACCGACTTCACCGTCAGCCAAAACCTGCCGGCGACCGTAAGGCTCATCTGAATTGCTGGACGTCTGATACCCACGCCATCGAGAGGACATAGACGCGCGAGGTGAGTCGACCGATGACCACACAAGCTGAAAGTCTGCGTCATCCGGTATGGTACTTGAGATCTCCATGTCTTCGCGTGAAAAGTCATCTTTCAATTTGTACCAAACCACCCATGTGTGAGACACTAGCCAGTCATGCAAATCAAGCAGAACGCCCGATATCATGGAGAGCCTCCAAGTACAGCAGCCACTCCAACCGCACCAAGACCAACTGGGAAACCTTGACTTGTTCCATTCCCCGCCACTAAATCGGGTCCAATCAGTTTCGGCCTCGTCATTCTTTACTTCCCAGAGGACTCCCAAGTCAAAGTACGACTTAGGGATCCCGAAGAAGAATGAAGTTCCGAGGAGAGGCGTCAACATGGTCAATATTCCCGTGAAGGCATGGATCCTGTCGCTCTGGTTGGACAAGCGCCTGACGCTGTACAGCTCCACATACTCAAGATACAACCGTACTGGGTTCTTGGTAATCGAATTGAAGGGTGAACGGACCATTTCCAGAGTCCAGGCTGGAACGGAAGACGCAGAGCAGACCTCTTCGGACCATGTCGCTTGGTGGCATTGGAAGAAAACGCAATCCTGAACGAATATCAAAGAACGTTTCGAGAGCATTCTTTCCTGAAAAACCCATGCTCTCGAGTTCCATGGCGTGTGCTGTATACGACTTTCGACCGTCTTCGTTGCCATCAGAGTAAGGTCGCCGTACATAGCAATTGGGAGATGAGCGAGATTTCGAGGGGTCATGGGCGAACCCTGGATCCCACCGCGTGAACTATTCGCGGACGCCGCGCAAATGTTGACGACTGCGTTCCCATATATTTGGTCCATTGCTGGAATCACGCGGGCCTTGTCTTCAAAACAGTCTTGAATAATGCATAATGCGTCAACCCATATGTATCGGAGACCAATTGAACGGGCGATTAGCATAGCATCGCGAATCGTTTCCGGTAACGCATGTGTTGTAGGACCCAGTGCTCCAGCCGAAGTAAGGGAGTTGAAGTTGGCCTTCCCTAGACTAAGCCGGCTCGGGCCACCCCATACATAACTGAGAGTGGCATATTCTGTGGTCTCGATTCCAATCTCTGAACAGGGGACTAGAGCCTCTTGTTCCAGGTCGATAAACCTCAAACGGCGGACAAAATCTAGAGATATATGGAATGAATCTCTAGGCTGGCAGCTGTGATTTTCCCCGCATAGGCGAAGCCAATTCTTCAGCATCTCCGGGTCGATGGTGGAAGGCGATACCTTTCGTGCCAGGAAGCTTGGGTCGGCTGTGAAAGAAGATTCTGAAGACATGAGCATGATATAGGTGTCGGTCCAGTAGCTTTCAGGGCTGAAAACTCTCAGGCGGCGCGTAGGCGGTCGGGGTTTGAGTTCTGGCTCTTGAACTTCTACTAGACGGCCATCAAGCTGCCACTCAACGTAGCAATGAACACGTTGTCCGTCTTTGGTGCGGCCATCGTTGCAAATGTGATGTCCTGTAGATGCGGTACGTGCTCTGAGCGAATGGATCCCCTGGAAAACCAGCCAGCAGAACGAGCATCTTTCTCGCCGACGATAGACGTCGTCGAGATAGCCTAGATTTAGCGACTGCAAGCCGGTAGCACTCGATGCTTCCGAAAGGAACCCTGGTAGCTTGCTGGTCGAAGCTTCAGCTGGGACGAACTTCTGGACCGATAAGTTGAGTTGCTCGCAGGTTGTGCATAATCTGTCGACAGGTGCATCGACTTCTGCCGAAATCTTGCGTCGCCTTTTTAAAGGGCCAGAGTCACTAAGGCTTGAGAGGTCATACATCTTCTTGTCCATGTTTGGTGTTGACTTCGGCCATGGGAACGACACTAGGTTAAGAAACTGTTGGTGCAGCGCACCTTAGACCGCAACAAGCAAGACTTCGACGTAAACTTGCGGTTTAGTTCTCACTAGATAGGAGCAACAAAGTGCTTAGGTTGAAAGATGGCAAGAAACATTGGGCCGCATCTCAGCCGCGAGGTACAGCCTGATCAGATAGCAATTGCACTTTTTACTGATAGGTCGTCAATATTTTAGGCAACCGGGGCCTTCCGTTGTATGAGTAACTAATCATGTAAGGTAAGCAGGCCCCATAAAGCTTAGGTATTGAAGACTTCATATAAGCAAGAGGATCGATGTAGTATTTTTGAGAAAAAACAGCAACAATTAAGAGCGCTTCCGTAAGAGCGCTTCCACTTAGTGTGCAAGTGTTCCTACGTATAATTCCACATGTGCGGTTGATTGAATTGAGGAACCTTATGAGATTTACCTTGTGTAGTTTATATTGATGCACGGACCATGTCGGCCCACAACTCCCGTACAGCGGTTGAACGGCCGGTCCATCGGAGCAAGTTCTCACTGTCACCTTCACAACCACAACTAATATTACCCAAGTGCCATATGAGCCTACTGTATCGCTCAACTCGACAGTTGTTGAGATCGGTTCCAGGGCGGGGATATCTAAAGTTCTCTCCAGCACAGTCGAGAAAACCCCAACTTCAAGTTTCAGACGTCACAGTCAACTCTGGGTTCTCACTCACCACTCATCGCACCTACACCACAACCCATACCCTCTGCCGTCGGCCGGCTCTTTCACAACCAACGCCAACCCCCAAAATGTCGGACGACCTCAAGGACGAAATCGAAGTCATAAACTCAATCTACGGAGACGGCACCCTCTCCCCCTCCACCCCGCCAGACTACATCCTCGCGCTGCCCTCGGCCTCCTCCCTCACCCTCCGCCTCACAGACTCGTACCCCTCCGTCCCGCCACAGGTCCTCGGCACCCACAGCGCCGGCGAGGGCGCGCCCCGCGGTGCCGCCGCCCGCGACCTCGCCCTCTTCCGCGACGCCATCGCCACCGTCTACCAGCCCGGCGCCGTCTGCCTCTTCGACGCGATAGAGGAGTACCAGCGGTGGGCCGAGGCCAGCGCAGAAGCTGAGGCCGCGGCGCGGAGCCCCTCCCCAGAAGCAGCAGACGAGTCCTCCTCAGCAGCAGCAGCAGCAGCAGCGTACGAAGAGTCGTCGGTGCCGGCGTACCTCGCCGAGGAGCCGCCGTGGGTGATCTCAGACCCCTTCGTGGAGCTCAAGTCCGTCTTCGTTGCGCGCGCGGCGCCGGTGAGCAGTCCAGAGCAGGCGGCGGGTTATGTGCAGCACCTGCTCGCGACGGACAAGAAGGCGCGGACGGCGACGCACAACATGACGGCGTGGCGGATCCGGGGCCCGAACGGGACGAGCTTCCAGGACTGCGACGACGACGGGGAGACGGCGGCGGGCGGGCGGCTGTTGCATCTCATGCAGCTGATGGACCTGTGGGACGTCATGGTCGTCGTGACGAGGTGGTACGGCGGGCAGAAGCTCGGCCCGCGGCGGTTCGCGCTGATTAACAGCTCGGCGAGGGATGCGTTTGTGAAGGCGGGCTGGGTCGAAGAGGCAGGGAAGAAGAAGGGCGGCAAGTAGAAAGGACGGATATTGGATAGACATCAGCGAGTTATACTCTCGCAACAACTGCATTTAGATCATGAACAAACCACACCGAGGCCCGAAATGGGATCAAAGACAAACGAGATCGAAGCATCTCAAATTGAATCCGGACCGACACCAGCTATTCTCGCAAGACATACAAAGAGTTGGTATCTAACATCAGAGAGCCGCCGTCCTCCGCGAACGCCAACATGTCGAAGGAAATTTTCAAAATCAGATTGCCAACCGCCGCCAGTCCATGCTAGTACAGTCATTCAACATCGTAAATCCCACTCCGAAAGTGTCGTAACATTTTTTGGTTCCCCCTATCTTTTGTTTTCTTACGATCCGCCCAACAATGTTTTGGCAAAACCTTACCAATGCAGGCTGTTCCCCGGGCTGTGTTCATATGCTCAACCAAATCAGGCCTTGAACAGTTTCGGTTCAAGAATCTCAAGAGCGTGAATCGACTGTTCACACGAAAGAATGACGGCACCGGCTCGAGCGGTAGATAGATATGACAGTCCTGCGCTGTCTCCGGTGCGCATGTCCTGCACAAGTGTACCGGCAACTCCGCAAACGATGCCGGTGGCTTCCAACGGAAGGCTCTCGAGATCCAGGAAGATGGGAGTGAGGTTCGACTTGGTGTCTCCTACGAGTGAATCACCAAAAAGACCGAGGAGAGACCTGTCCAGCAGCAGTGAGGGCGGATCCTCCTGTGCGAGGGTGATGGATATGAAGCGCGGCCGCGCCGCCAGCGCCGAGATCATGGCGGTGTACAGCTTCGTGTCGATGTTGTCTAGCCATGTCTGGCGATGGCCGTTGCCCGTCACCTGCCTACTCAGGGGCGGACGCTGGGTATGCGAGAACTCGCCTCCAAGTTGCGATGTCTCTCGGCCAGAGCACTGGACCAGGAGCAGGTCGTCTTCGACGTAAGGGGCGACGCTACGCTTCTTGAGCAAATCGAAGGTGCGCACCTGGAGCTCGGCGATGGTCGAGGGCGGTGGGGTCAGCGGAGGGCCGTTCTGGCTACCGCCGCGGGAGTGAACAGATGCTGCAGGGCTGACGAAGTTGGACTCGTTCTCGGCCAGCTCGAAACCGCGCGCCAGGAGGGCCTGAATGACAGTCTTCTTGTCCTTGGTCGGCACCAGGATGAAGTCGGAGTAGTAGGTGGTAATGAAGAAAATCGGGATTCCGGCGAGGGCCAGAGGCGAAGTCAGCTCCATGACGCGCCCGGCAGCGTCCATGCCTGCGCTGATGACGGAAAGGACGAGGTAGGTGTCTTTGGATATTGAGACGGACTTGGCGAGGTCCTTGGGCAGGTCCTTGATGGCAGGCTCAAAGACATTCTTGGCCCAAGAGCTGTGGCAGACGATGGAGCACTCCATGGGAGTGACGCTGATGTTGAGGAAGCCATGCTGGCTTTCGGCATTGAGGCCTTCTAATTCATGTTCAGGCTCTCCTTTTGACGCCTTAAGGGTCTGGGTCTGTGGCAGGAGGACGCGGAGAATGGGCTGCAGCAAGGTTGAGTACAGATCGAGAGGAATGTGGATCAGAGTGTAGGTGCCGTCCTAGATCGTAATCGGTGTTAGTCCAAAGACCTCAACAATGGGCCCAGCGAGACGTTATGTCATGTATTCTTCTTGGTCCGGAAAGGGTACGGATGCAGCTCGTAGGTAGCGTCGCTGTGGTGGGGTGGACATGAAAGTGCAAGAGCCAGCCCCGCCTTTTTGGTGACTCTATCCAGAGCGCAGCATGGGCTGGTGTGAGTGTGTCTACTTACGAGAAACGAGACCTGGGCGTTCATGATGTCCCTGGCGCGCAAACTTCTGGCTCTTGAAGCCAAGAAGAAAACCTTCTTACTTCCTCCTCGCTGACTTTCGAAACCCTTTATCTATGAATCTGTGGGTGGTGGTCCAAGAATAAAAAAAAAAAAAATCCGATGTCGATGCGCAGTAGGGCACAGACGTTGGCAGTTGCGCGTGCGGGAGGATATCGGAGGGGCCTCTCTGCCGGGTTCGGATCAGGCTCTCATAAGGCTGGCCGGTGCTCTTGGTGAGACTCAAAAGTCTCAGCGAGTGAGGATTTGGGTAGCCGTTGCTGACAGGGAAACCGTCGTATCTTGTGTTATCTCTGGTTGTATACAAGTTCTGTATGTCCGACGTGGAACCCAAGGTATGAACGGAAGACGTCGTGGAATCGGGAGGAGAATATCAAGTAAAAGAGCCAGGAAAGAGGAACAAGAGGAAGGGACGGGAAAGGTTATGAAGGAGGGAAGGGGGAAAGAGGAATTAGGTTCATAAGGACCCCGGAGTTGCAAGCTAAGAGGTCCTAGGTGAGGTACCTACTATGTGAGGTAGGTAAGGTAGGCAAGGCACCTCCAGGTAAGGCAAGGCGAGGCAGCTTCAAAGGTAATGGTGCGGAGAGGAGGGCGCTGCGGCGTGCGGCGTGCGGCGGCCGTCGATAATGGGACGCTAAAGCACGGGCACATCTCACTTACCGGGGCCGGCCAAGCAAAAGCCCACCCCAAGGAGAAAATAGAAAAAGCGCGAGAGGGCCAGGGAAAAACAGCTGGTGACGGAGAAAAAACGTGGGCTTGCTTGCTTGCCTTGGGACTTTGCTTGGGTTGCAGATAACGTGAAGGAGTTGAACAAGCATCAGGTATCTACGCGGTAGTTGTGTTGGCCGGGGCCCTTACACGTACAGCAGCAAGAGCGGGTAACAGCGCAGGCCCCTCTAAGGACCCTCGACTCCGCTTGAGTGGTTTGCGCCGAGATGGAGATTTTTCCTCTTTTTTTTTTTTTTTTTTTTTTTTTCCTTTCCTTCCCAAAGACTCAGCGATGTGGGATGCTTGCTTTTTCTGTCCGAATGCATCACGCAGGACCACCTCGGTCAAGACGCGGTTGGCCGAGTCCGTACCAAACTCAGGATGGCCATGGCTGTCATACTGTATTTGCGCGAAGCCGCATTGGACTATCATTTTCCATGACGGAGCTCGTCACAAAAGCTTACCTCGTCGTTGATCATTGATGTATATGCGTGCTATGTGCACCCGCAATTATTGTTCACTCTGCCAATGCTGAACCCGGGCAGACTGGTTCCTCCGGCTGCATGAAGGTGGGCAGCATGGCATGGCGGGGTCAAGCAGGGGATCGAGGAGAGAAGGCAAAGGGCAAAAAGCATTGGGGATGGGAGGGATCCAGCCCATGATTGCATCTTTGATGGTGTGTGTCTCGTCAGCGCGCACACACGCACACGCACCTATCCCACGCACCAAGGGGGAAGCGAGAGCGATGCCTGGAGCACCACGATGGGAGGGGGAAGGGATCCCCTTTGGTGGTTTCACGACGTTATCTGGTTGCGGCAAGTGTGTTCTGGATCCAAGAAGGCTCCTCGGCCGCGCTGGAGATATCCGAATCAGTGTCTGTCCTCGGTCGTGAGGATGTAAGAGACGGCAACTCCAGCGGGCGCTTGAGTCAGGCACGCACCAATGCCCGGCTTCGTGTAAGTGGGCGAGGGCAATTGAAGTTGAGCCGCTCTCTCTTTTCTCCACCGTCCGATCCCCCGTAGAGGTGAACGTGATGCCGAGTTGAATACACGTGTACGTGGAGTGCGTAGTATTGCGTTGCGTTCTGGTGCCATAGCCTGGGCATCTAATCTGCAGACCAAAAGTAGAAAGGCGTGATTCCCCACGAAGATGATGATGAGACGGAGGCGCGTGCTAGTTGAATCCCGTCATCCTGACGCCTTGACCGTGGCCGACTGACCTCTCCGTCCAGCCAAGGGAAGGAAGGCATCAACAAGCTCACCTCAGAGCTAAAGTGAATGATCGGAAACCTGGAAAGCAGAGGACGGAAAGGCCAGACGCAAGAAAGGGTTCAGTCGAAGGCCGTTTCGGGCGGCTTGCAGCAGACTAGTGAGACGGGAACGTGGGGGTTTCTTTGGCTGTGCGGCCTGCTTTACGAGCTTCGCAGTGGTCAGTCTCTTTTCAGCTTATTCGCACAGAGAGAGACACAGAGAGAGCGCGCTGTAGCATCATCTCCAGACCTGGTCTGAATCACCGACGCCACCGAGACAATGGGTCGCTGGCTAGCTAGGCATGTAGGTCCGGTAAGGTGATGACGGGAGCGCCTGCATCAGTGAAGCAACTGTCTGGAGAAAACCCCTTCCAGTCTGGCCTCCAGATTGGACATCTCATGAACCATGATGTAAGCCAGGCAACGTACCTGACAGAAGCTGCCGCCGGCAGGAGTACCCTCACCCCCTTCACCTTACCTTACCTCACCTCACCTGCCTCTACTATGTACGTGCCTCACCTCAGCATTGCTACGCACTTGTCATCTCTCACTTCTCACCTCTCAACTGGGCATCACCACCACGGGAACAACACTGCTCAGTGCTCGCGGGCGCCGCCGTCATTCATTGCCTGATCCTGGATGCGGCTGGCTTCGGCCTCGCATCCACCTACCTCGATGAACGACGTGGGATAACGACAACCGCCAGCTCCAGCGAATGCCCGCCTTTCTCGGGTCCTAAGCTGGATCGGTCGGATTTCCAAGCAGGTTATTCATTACAATAGCTATCGAAGGACCTGCGGCACGGTGTTTGGCGATGACATCGCCCAGACACCGATACGTATCCCAGCCCCCGAGAGAGCTTACCCCCGCACTTGGACCCCTCTTCGGCGGCCTGGAGCCGGTCCCCAACGCTGAGCTTCCAGGTGCACCTCACCTCACCTCACTCGCTTTGAGTTGCCGGCGTCGTCCCCAAACTCACCTGCCATCTCAGCTCCCCGTCTCCAACGCCATTGCGTCAGACCAGAGGTTCAGCCATGTCGGGTCTGCAGTGGTTCACGACGAAAAAGAAAAATTTCGCTTCTCCAATTCACCGAGTACCAACCAAGCCGTCTTTTCACCAAAGAGCCGGCCCCGCCGATCGCAACGGTTCCTGAACCTTGTCTGAACCAACCCTTTCCCATCGCTCCCCGTCCTGCTGGCTCACAGCAATGCTTCTCGCCAAATCGGCGCCATGCGACAACTGTCGAGTTGAGCATGGATTCTCCAGTGGACTCAACTCTGCCCCTGCTTCACCTAACGCTACTCTTGACGTAGCAGCAAGGTGTCGTGGCCAACCTGCGTCGTCCGGGTTTCCTAATATCGACTCCCGGACGACTGCTTGAGATGCAAAATGCCACCTCTGGTCAGGTTGTTGGCGCCATAACTCTCAGAGAGGGTGCAACCCTCGCTCAGGACAGGGGATCCCACCCCTCTCGGCCCTCATCTTTCCCACTCTGTCAGTGACAACTCTCCTCCCGCAACCCGGCCTCCATCTGGACCCCCATCAAGAATTGGATCCTGGGATCCGATCCCTTCAGCAACCACCTCCACTGCGACCCTACACACATTCGCATCGTCCGCAGCTGCCTCCAACGGCCGCTTCTAAGCGGTTCGTCGACGCGCCTTAACCCCCATTTCTTGACCTAGCCGTCCACTCGTTGGCAACCTTTTGATGAATTCGTGCGGCGTGGTCAAACACTCTCTGGGGTTCGGGAACCTGACTCGCAAACGAGCGTGGGTTGACGACGCCAACCCACGAACCCGAGATTTGCCTTGTGACACCCCGACGTCCAACGGGAGTTCACAGACTTGACTAGGCCGAGCCAAATACTCGGTCGTCTCACCTGCAGGAGAAGGGATTGGCAGGCACACATCGTCACCACGCGCCCTTATGACAGCATCGCGCACGTTTAGGGTAAACATCACGTACGCATTGGTCGTCGCTTCAACATGGCTGGTGGTGGCCAAGACAACAGCTCTGGTGCCATATGAAGCTTTCAGCTCCTCATTGTTTGCTGTTTGATTGCCGAGTTGGGCTTCGTCTGCATCGCAGGCGTGGGATGCTGCGGACACTGCTGACAGGAAGACGAGAGAACCTCCACTTGACTGGAGACGGGCCACCCTCACCGCGTGCCGTGATCCATCATGAGGCCGGAGCATCGCCGAGGTCTCGGCCCTGACCATGAGCTTTTTTTCGGTCTTGAAACGTTCCTTCGGCGACTGGCTACCTTTCTATTACAGTTTTGCTTCTCTTCATCATGCTTCCTCAAATCTCCGATGGGGTCCCATTCGCCCGTCTGTGCTCCCATACGTTATCTTTGCGGATCAGATCGTAGATCCACTGATAGGGAATCGGACGGTTGGGCGTTATCTCAAGCTATGACTGTCGCCGTCTCAAGCTCTACTTTGTTAGCCTCAAGAGCTAATTGACGAATTTGCGCTTCTAGCCCACTAGTCTAACCGGCCAACATGCCTTTTCCAGGCTGGCCTTTTTGGCCTGTACCCCGCCAATCGGCCGTTCCCTGCAGATGGTAAGACGAAGCGGAGGGAATGAGGGGTTCTGTTGCTCGTCCCTGTGCAACTCTATGGCGAGGTAATCCTCAGTAATCGAGAGGAAGCATCTTCAACCTATCGCAGCCCTCCTTCTCAACCGATGCTGGTTCATGCATGACATCAACGACGAGGGAGAACAAACCCTACGGTTTGTCCGTTTACCGCAGTAACCGACGCGCAAGTTCAACCCTTGTCCTGTTCAGATCAAGGCCACGAGACGGCGACGAGGGCGAGGACGACGTCGCCGCGCATGCAAGCTCAACCAACCCGAGACTTTACGGACATGCCGTTCGTCTCGGCACAGGCAGTCCGTCCCGATGACTACTCATGACAATGCATACACGGGACCCAGCTGTTCGGGCGCCGTCGGTATGGTTGCCGCCGTCGTGCAAATTTGCACCGCGCTTGTCGCGTGCCC